AGAGAGAGAGAGAGAGAGAGAGAGCAACATCGTTGCGCTCTTTTGTCTCGTAGAATGGTGGGGCGGGCACACACACATATGCTGCATATCACATGGATGTGCGCCCGCTTAAAAATCACTCCCCATTGGCCCACCCTTAATTGCCAATAACTTTTTAGGGGTGAGTCTGATCAAAAAGTGCAAGAGGACTTTACTGCTCAGAATCACCCCCTGATCCTAGGGTGTTCAGATGTATATGTACTTCTGAAACACTCTGTATATATATATATATTTATACATATATATATTCTACTATAATAAAAATAATAAATGAAATGAAAAAAGTTGATTTAAAAAAAATTTAAGTGTATTAAATTTTTTAATTAAAATTTAATTAATTTTTAAATTTTTCAAAATTAATAATACATTATATATATATATATATNTGTACAATAGTATATTTCGTCACACGACCTAAAAAACTTTTCTAGCTCATATATGATTGCAATCCCCTCGCCTTCGGCTCGCGCTGCAAACTCATATTCGCCAGAAAATTTTTTTTCTGCCTAATGACGAAATATACTATTCCACGTCACCCGAGGGGTAGAGTTTTCGATGCGTTTTGTTTTAACGTAGTATCTCCTACAGGCCTTATTTCCGCTGAAAATGTAAATTTCATAACATTCTCTTCAGCAGAATAATTCCTAGTGGTGGGAGACTGAAGGAGATGAGGGGAAGTGTATGTCAACTGGAACCCCACCTCTGGGGCTCCAGCGAATTTGTCCCGTTTTCTGGTTTCATAATTGGGAATTCAGATGGGGGCGGGGCGTAGGTCACAGATCCTACTTGCACGGGTTCACATTTTCGCCACTCAACGCTAGCTCCTTGGGAGAGATTGGGCTCGCAATCTACTTACACGGGTTCCTATCCCGGCCGATAGATAGAGTATTCGAGTTCTAGACTTGCAATACCTGCTTCTATCATACCTTAATTAGGAAAAGGTTGCATCGCTTAGTTTACTGACCGGTTTTCGAGGTGAAGTCGGAACCCTCGAAGATCGTTCAGCGAAATCATTAACAAGTAAAAAAAATAATAATTCTTAAAATTTTCAGGAGATGTCTTTGATGAAGGTCTCTGGTGTGGCTCCTCTGAATTCGAGACGTACGTCAAGAGATTCAATTCCCTCTTTGCAGTACCACAAAACACATACATCTACATAGTTGCTGGGAATCATGACATGGGATTTCACTATTCCATAACTCCATACTTGAATCAAAGATTCATGAATGCAATGAGATCCCCGAGTGTAAAAAGGGTGACAATCCGAGGGAACCACTTTGTTCTAGTCAACAGTATGGCCATGGAAGGGGACGGCTGCTTCCTTTGCAGACCAGCTGAAGTTGCTTTAAATAAAATAGCCAAACACTTGAAGTGCGCCAGAGGCATTGGCGAGTGCAATATGCAGAAATCGATCAAGAGGTATAGCAGGCCAGTGCTCCTCCAACATTATCCAATGTACAGAGAGTCTGACTCGTTATGTTCAGAGCCTGACGAGGCACCTGAGGAGATCAAGGACATAAAGTTCAGGGAAAGGTGGGAGTGTCTATCGAGGGAGGCTTCTGAACAACTCCTGGATATTCTGAATCCGAGGTTGATTGTTGATGGGCACACTCATCATGGCTGCAGGAAGAGGCATAGGGAGGACATTCTTGAGGTCACTATTCCGTCGTTCAGCTGGAGGAATAAAAATAATCCCTCGTTTTTGATGGTATTGAACAGTATTTTTTGGGGATGTTTTGAGAGGAAAGGGGCTCAGGGGAATTCATCGGGAGATATTTTGCATAATCCCCTTTAAAAAAATCATGTAACGTTTTTTGTCACCGTTTTTTGCAGCATAGCTTAGCTATCACGTATAAAAAAATAATATTTTTGAAAAATATAATATATATATTCTGACTCGTTATATATATATATAACGAGTCAGAATATATATATTATATTTTTCAAAAATATTATTTTTTTATACGTGATAGCTAAGCTATGCTGCAAAAAACGGTGACAAAAAACGTTACATGATTTTTTTAAAGGGGATTATGCAAAATATCTCCCGATGAATTCCCCTGAGCCCCTTTCCTCTCAAAACATCCCCAAAAAATACTGTTCAATACCATCAAAAACGAGGGATTATTTTTATTCCTCCAGCTGAACGACGGAATAGTGACCTCAAGAATGTCCTCCCTATGCCTCTTCCTGCAGCCATGATGAGTGTGCCCATCAACAATCAACCTCGGATTCAGAATATCCAGGAGTTGTTCAGAAGCCTCCCTCGATAGACACTCCCACCTTTCCCTGAACTTTATGTCCTTGATCTCCTCAGGTGCCTCGTCAGGCTCTGAACATAACGAGTCAGACTCTCTGTACATTGGATAATGTTGGAGGAGCACTGGCCTGCTATACCTCTTGATCGATTTCTGCATATTGCACTCGCCAATGCCTCTGGCGCACTTCAAGTGTTTGGCTATTTTATTTAAAGCAACTTCAGCTGGTCTGCAAAGGAAGCAGCCGTCCCCTTCCATGGCCATACTGTTGACTAGAACAAAGTGGTTCCCTCGGATTGTCACCCTTTTTACACTCGGGGATCTCATTGCATTCATGAATCTTTGATTCAAGTATGGAGTTATGGAATAGTGAAATCCCATGTCATGATTCCCAGCAACTATGTAGATGTATGTGTTTTGTGGTACTGCAAAGAGGGAATTGAATCTCTTGACGTACGTCTCGAATTCAGAGGAGCCACACCAGAGACCTTCATCAAAGACATCTCCTGAAAATTTTAAGAATTATTATTTTTTTTACTTGTTAATGATTTCGCTGAACGATCTTCGAGGGTTCCGACTTCACCTCGAAAACCGGTCAGTAAACTAAGCGATGCAACCTTTTCCTAATTAAGGTATGATAGAAGCAGGTATTGCAAGTCTAGAACTCGAATACTCTATCTATCGGCCGGGATAGGAACCCGTGTAAGTAGATTGCGAGCCCAATCTCTCCCAAGGAGCTAGCGTTGAGTGGCGAAAATGTGAACCCGTGCAAGTAGGATCTGTGACCTACGCCCCGCCCCCATCTGAATTCCCAATTATGAAACCAGAAAACGGGACAAATTCGCTGGAGCCCCAGAGGTGGGGTTCCAGTTGACATACACTTCCCCTCATCTCCTTCAGTCTCCCACCACTAGGAATTATTCTGCTGAAGAGAATGTTATGAAATTTACATTTTCAGCGGAAATAAGGCCTGTAGGAGATACTACGTTAAAACAAAACGCATCGAAAACTCTACCCCTCGGGTGACGTGGAATAGTATATTTCGTCATTAGGCAGAAAAAAAATTTTCTGGCGAATATGAGTTTGCAGCGCGAGCCGAAGGCGAGGGGATTGCAATCATATATGAGCTAGAAAAGTTTTTTAGGTCGTGTGACGAAATATACTATTGTACACTTGGAGATCTTTCTATTTTACTCTCATTCACTTCAGGGTTTCGATCTGGGACCTAGACCCTCCTCTACTCCAAGGAAGGACTTTCCATTATTTTTCATACATCCATCCGCAGACTAATAAGATTCGAATTTTGTTCACCGGAAGTTGGGAGAAATGAATCTTAAAAAATGAATTAAAAATCCCCTAATTGGCGCACCGCGATAATTTTTTTTGGGGAGGGTCCCCCAACCCCTCAGTAACATCTTCCACGTGGAATGGAGTCGGTTGATGCATGCGTGTCCGTGCACCCCCACCGCATTCACCAGAAGTTACACAAAATGAATCTTGAAAAATTTATTAAAAATACCCTAATTAGTGCACCGTCACAATTTTTGTTGGAGAGGGTCCCCCAACCCCTCAGTAACATATTCCAAGCGGAATGGAGTCGGTTGGTGCATGCGGGTCCGTACACCCCCACCGCATTCACCGGAAGTTACACAAAATGAATCTTTAGAAATTAATTAAAAATACCCTAATTAGTGCACCGTCACAATTTTTATTGGAGAGGGTTCCCCAACCCCTCAGTAACATATTCCAAGCAGAATGGAGTCGGTTGGTGCATGTGTGTCCGTGCACCACCATTTTGTTCACCGGAAGTTGGGAGAAATGAATCTTAAAAAATTCATTAAAAATACCCTAATTAGTGCACCGTCACAATTTTTGTTGGAGAGGGTCCCCCAACCCCTCAGTAACATATTCCAAGCGGAATGGAGTCGGTTGGTGCATGCGTGTCCGTGCACCACCATTTTGTTCACCGGAAGTTGGGAGAAATGAATCTTAAAAAATTAATTAAAAATACCCTAATTAGTGCACCGTCACAATTTTTGTTGGAGAGGGTCCCCCAACCCCTCAGTAACATATTCAAAGCGGAATGGAGTTGGTTGGTGCATGCGTGTCCGTGCACCACCATTTTGTTCACCGGAAGTTGGGAGAAATGAATCTTAAAAAATTAATTAAAAATACCCTAATTAGTGCACCGTCACAATTTTTGTTGGAGAGGGTCCCCCAACCCCTCAGTAACATATTCCAAGCAGAATGGAGTCGGTTGGTGCATGCGGGTCCGTACACCCCCACCGCATTCACCGGAAGTTACACAAAATGAATCTTTAGAAATTAATTAAAAATACCCTAATTAGTGCACCCTCACATTTTTTATTGGAGAGGGTTCCCCAACCCCTCAGTAACATATTCCAAGCGGAATGGAGTCGGTTGGTGCATGTGTGTCCGTGCACCACCATTTTGTTCACCGGAAGTTGGGAGAAATGAATATTAAAAAATTCATTAAAAATATCGTCATTAGTGCACCGCCACAATTTTTGTTGGAGAGGGTCTCTCAATCCCTCAGTAACATATTCCAAGCGGAATGGAGTCGGTTGGTGCATGTGTGTCCGTGCACCACCATTTTGTTCACCGGAAGTTGGGAGAAATGAATATTAAAAAATTCATTAAAAATATCGTCATTAGTGCACCGCCACAATTTTTGTTGGAGAGGGTCTCTCAATCCCTCAGTAACATATTCCAAGCGGAATGGAGTCGGTTGGTGCATGTGTGTCCGTGCACCACCATTTTGTTCACCGGAAGTTGGGAGAAATGAATCTTAAAAAATTAATTAAAAATACCCAAATTAGTGCACCGTCACAATTTTTGTTGGATAGGATCCCCCAACCCCTCAGTAACATATTTCAAGCGGAATGGCGTTGGTTGGTGCATGCGTGTCCGTGCACCACCATTTTGTTCACCGGAAGTTGGGAGAAATG